TCTTCATATTTGGTGCTGCATAGCTTGCCCATTCTTTTCGCCATTCTTCGGCGCTATCAAACAAAAAAATTATTAGTGCGGTACCTATTCAAACACGAAACCGACGACGACGCCATCAATTCAGCAATTTCTTTTATAAATAAAATTAATGGAATAAATGGAATAAATGGAATAAATTAATAAATCTTTAAACAAAATTGAAATGTACATCTACGTATTTTAAACTGTCATTTTATTTGTCTATACCGTCTCGATGCCGCTAAAGCAGGGTACCCATATTGTTAAAAATATTTGGTTAAATTTTTTTTTTATATGGGTATGTACCCGCTACCGGATGAATAAAATGCTGTCACCAAACACTTCTCGGACACACTCAAAATCCAATACAAACGTGGTCTGGACAATAAGAAAAATTCAATATGTGTCGACATCCGTTATATTATTGTTATCTACAACGCCGCCATGGAGTCGAGGGTTTTTTTTTTTTTTACCTTTATTTTACAATAGGTTTCAGTATCATATACATTTCGAATACTTCCGTTAAGTTTTACTCAATGGTTGAATTGAAAACAATTGTTTACGATTTCCATCCAAATATTTGTTATTGAAATTCATAACAAAAAAAAAAAATTTCGGAAAAAAATCAAAGAAAAAACCAGAGAACGCCAAACAAAATACCAAAAAAAACAAAATGATTATAAATAATATTACCTATATATAATTTTAATAATTTAATAATATTGAAAATTATATAAAAATAAATAGGCATGTAATTTTAATTTAATTATTAGGGTACCTATATATGATAATATTCAATAGAATTGAATAGAGCTGTTTGCCATATGTAATATATAATATATATATATATATATTTTTTTTTTTTTTTGATAATCTCTAACAAGCGTTGTAAAATTGGGAATATAGAATATATAACGATATTTAATTGACATATGGATGCAACGATTAAACTTTATAGTTTGCTCGATAGAAGTAGCATCATTTATTTAAACCCTTCTTTTTTTGTCAATTTTATCACGGATAATTTGCCGGCCCGAAAGTGTATCAAAAATTCAATGCCCGTTACTTAAAACCAGCCTTGATGACATACAAATTCAGGAAAATAAAACACAGTTGTGAAACATTGAGCACTGATACTTATTATTACTAATGATAAATACAGGAAAGCTGTTATAAAATAACTGATAGTACTAATATTGGATATAATTTCTCTGCTTTTTATATTTCCGATTTTTACTATTTTGTGAAATTTTTTCCTAACAAATACTTTACTGCTTTTACATCATAGGCGATATTTTCCCGTGAAATTAATTATTTTCCCCGATTTTTGTGTTCCTATGTAATAATTTTCTGATTTTTATTTTTTAGTATAATATTTTCTTAAATAGTATTATCGTTAGGTTAGGTATAGCAACGTTCGTTTTATGGATTTTTTTTTTTTTTTTCAATGCATTTAACCATGTCGGAAGACTAACGGCAGCTCGGCGGCGGTGTTGTTCCCAATTTCCGTTCGAACCTTTACAAAAACGAAACCGACGACGACGCCATCAAGTCGGTAATTTCTTTTATAATCTTTACACAAAATATAAATGTATACCTACGTATTTTTAACCTGTCCTTTTATATATTTGTACCGTCTTGATGTCGCCAAAGTATATTGTTATAAATATTTGGATCAAATAATTTTTGTATAGGTAGCGGATGAATAAAATGCTGTAACAATACACATTGTAATACTTTAAGATTCGGACAACCTGCAGTGTTTTCATATCCCAATAGTCCTTTCGATCTGTAGAATAACTACAATTTACAGCTACTCGGACTCACTCAAAATCCAATATATAAGTAGTCCGAGCAATAGAAAAATTTTAACAAAAAAATCTATTCAACAAATATCATATACACACAATTGTATATTTCGATTTGCGAAACTAAACATCAATAGGCTGTATTGAAAAATTCACATACACCAGACAATCTTTGTGGAAATATTCTTATATTATTGTCCTCAACGCCGCCATGGAGTCAGAGATTTTTTTTTCGTCTTTATTTTACAATAGAGGTTCAATATTATATAATTTTCGAAATCGTTCTATAACTTATATTCGGTAGTTGAATCGGAAATAATTATTTACGATATTCTTCCAAATATTTAATTATGAAATATTAAATTGTATACTTCATTAAAATTAAAATTCAATGTCTGTTACTATATTGTTTATTTTGATTTCAAAATATACTTAACTATTATTAAAACGTGAAGATATGAATTATTTATAGATTAAAATGTTTTCAAATTCTAAAATAAATGTTATTCATTAATCAAATACTAAAATAATTTCCCAAATATATTAATATAAAATATTATTGTATATTATTTTCCTTCTCTAAGTATTCCGTTTCGAAAATTGGTTTAATTTGATTATTTATAAATTATAATAATGTAATATATTGAATAATTAATAATTGTAAAATAAAAAATACAATTCCCAGTTTCGTCACAAACATCTCTTTAACAGTGTTGCCACCTTAAGACGGCACATATTAATTCAAAATATGTATTACGCGTGTCGCTCACATAAGGGCGCACACGTAGCGACCGTGGCAAAGTGGGAGTAGTCGGTGTGGGAAACCGCGGAAGGCTTAAATACACCATACACATCACTAATTAAATCACTCCTCTGGGTTCGCCCATTAAAAGCAAACATTTATTGCCCACTCACTCAAACCATACCTTTTTTTCCAAACCTATGCAGTAGTTGCAGATACTGAATGCGGGCTGCTGTATTTGGTTCTCCCTATCCTATATACCTGGTAATTGTGCTTGTTGTCACTATTGTTTTACCATAGACTGTGTTTATTTCTTCAAAAAATACATATAATATTCCGGTACGTAAACGGAAATACACATCTTGTTGACCGGTTGCGAATACAGAACGGACGTGGTCGTAGTGTCGACGTAATATCGTTCATCGCCAATAAATAGGAACAATTTCAATAACGGGCCTAACAATTTCCGACAAAATTACAACAATAATTCGAGCAGTCGAAAATATAGTTCACGATATTTAGTTGAAAAATATTTCAGCCTTATTTTTCCCTGTGGACAAAATTTCTACCAGCAATTTTGCTCCAAATTACAATGACAGTACTTTTTCTGAAAGGAAATCTAAATGGGGTGCTATTTTAGAGAGGTAATTTTTTGATTTTCCCAGGAGTTTTTCCAATAAATAGAAGAAGTTGGGAAAAACATGGGAAAACCAGGAAAAACGTGAAAATAAGTACAATGTTAAACAAATATTATTAACGAAAATATATAATGCTTTTTTATCATTTTACCATAATATGACATATATATATATATATATATTGTTGACAAAGTAACCTATTAACTGAACTCCACTGAGAATCGTTTTTTCGTTAGCTATGGTTTATCGTTGCTCACAGAATCACAGATATACATTAAATTTCACCTCTACTACATTCCCAACTTCTCACCTATTGCATCCGTCCCCATCATCTTAGGAGACAGCTACTTAAGTTTACATTCTATCAATGGCATAGTTTATCCTAATTTTTAATTTGCTTGATTTGCACTCTGACCGCACACTTAATGCGATGCATAGTTTTAAATTGTTCAACCCGATCCGATAATTGTAATGTTTCGAGTTATAGTCTTCCGTCTGAAAAATCAATACCATTAGAGGTGGGTCTGCTAGTTATTAATATATAATAATAGGTATGTATACCTATAATATGGTAATCACAAAAAGACGATATATATTACTTTTTTATGATGGAATTATGTGGCTCCTATGAGTTGGGTATTTTTTAGTTATTTAATATTTTTTGTTTATTGAATATTTAGATTCTGAGTGAAGCGAGGAATATTTTATTGATTTTACAATGATGTATATTTTTTTTTCTAAAGAATGATGGTGAAGTCAGAATTGAGTGAACTAACTTAAACTCTTTACCTTTTTGAAGTTCTGATATTATACGGATATTATGTGTGTTATATTGAATAACTCAATAATGACAATTTTATTTCTGTCATAAACTCGTAGTCTAATGGTGATAAGTATCTGTTGTCAACAACAGAGGTCGTGAATTCAAACCAAAGTTTCGAATAATTTTTTTTTGCAAAACCACGTTGGGTAGATAACAGAGGAAAAAAAACGAAACACAATATATGTTTACTACACAATTCGTTGCATTCAATATATATATATTTATTTTACTTATAATATAACATATTTATTGTTGAAAAAGCAATATTATTAATCGAGCTTCACTCAGAATCGTTTTTCGTTAGCAGCGATTAATTTTTACAAACAGCTATACATTAAATTTCCCACTTACCTTCCTAACTTCTCACCTACAAAAGTGGCCAACCCATTGTGCGAAATATGTCTGTATTCTTTTCATTTTTATCCCATAGTATATTATTGCAATCCAATCGACTATTGAACACGTTGAGTAAATAAATTGCTTCTTCAAAATATATCGATTAATTGCAATAATGGATTATTTTGACACAATCCACTATTGAGTCTAACCAATTAACTATTGTGCATGCCTAAGTAAACCATTCTGCAGAATAATTGATTTTTACTAGTTAACTAGTTTTGTAAATATAACTAGAGTACAATAAATTATAAGTATAAAATAAATACTCAATAACAGATTATAATTATAATATCTATTATGATAATATGAATCAAGGATACAATTGTTTATAAATGATAAATCTTTATATTAAAAATGTTATTATAACCTAATGTAAATTTAACATCCATTTTCAAGCAAAAAGTAATATATTAATATAATAATAAGAAAACTAATAAGGTAAAGTAGGTACAAATAATATGATGCAACTATTTAATTTTAATTTTAAAATACTGCAATATAGTATTGAAATTACAACATAAAACTTTTAACTAACATAATATTTAAAAACTATACACAATAATCGAAAATAATGATTAAAATATTATCAACTTAATAATATTATGGAACACAATAAAAGGAATGACAATAACAGAGTAATATATCCATAATATAATATGCTAGTAATAATTATTATAGGTAACATAATATATCAATGTGCAAATATTAGAAACCTATGCGCTGATTATTAATTGCATATTATTACATTATTCTGTTACAGATAAATGTTTTACAGACTTTTGATTACAAAGTATTTGTATAAAAATAACAATAAGCTAAAGATTAAAACATCCAACTCACAATTATTATATTTTAACATAAAACTGATGTGATTGATTACATGATGGGTAACAATAAAGCAGCAATATAAAATTTGATTTGAAACAGTTAAAAATTATTTTTGGATTGTATTATTAATAAATGTTAATAAATGTTATATTCATCACATGAATTTATTTTTAGAATAGATATTTTATAGTTCATTTAAGTAATAATTATATTATTTTTTAAAATACAAGCAGTTAAAAGTGTCATCAATAGGTGGCTTATTTTTATCAAATATTCAAGGCATATTATTATTTGAAGGAAAAAAAACACAAGCAGAGTATTATAATATTAAAATCGCACATACCTATATAAAATTTAATACTGCTCAACCGCTCTTTTAATCAGTTTTTACCATTTTACCAGATTATTATAATACTCAATATAATTTTCTGAAAAATGCTTTGTAAATCAATAGTTTAAGAAATGTGTTTTACTGTTGAAACTTAAAAACTTGTATTAGGTACCTTATTTAAAATTTTAAAAATTTACTAATAGATATGTGAATAAAAAATGCTAAACAATAATTAATGTCCCACTTTAAATAATCATTTTGTGTTTACATATCGCAGCTCTCCCCTACCCAACAAAAAGTGATATTACTAAAAAGACCATGATTTTCCAGTTTATTATAGCATAAATATCAGAAGTATATAGTGTTAAAACGTCATAAGTCTATTCTTATTTTTCACTGGCCGATACATGGCAGTATGGCACATATTTCACTATTGGTGTATCAACAATTTATTTACACAAAACTATTAAGTGGTTTATCTCACTTTTGTCTTAACAACAAAACAAAGTATTATCCCATAGACCTTATGCTATAAAGTTTGTGTACTACTTAAGGCAACAAATCTATAGGGAATAAATTGCATAGAATATAGTGAAAAACTTATTCAAATTGTTTAAATTATAATTTTTCCATTGATAATTTATACATAATATATACATGGATTGGGCATATTCATTATCCATCATGTATTCGATTACTATTCCAGAAGAGTATAGTTGTCACCGTTATGGTAAAATGTGGCAAGTTGTGGTTTACGATAAAGAAACACATTTTATCAATCAGCTATCCATACAATCTGCAGATTTTATAAATTTCGATGAGGTTTAATTTTTGAATTTAAAGTATACTTTATTCTTACATTGACCTAAAATGAATGAATGTTATTTAATAATTTTTAATCATAATATACTACGATTTGTGTGAATATTATTAACAGATTACCTAATCCCTTATCTACACTGAGGTTACCACTTACCACAAACAAACAAACTCTTAATAACAAATGCACTCTTGGAGCCAGGGAGTTTAAAATTCCTACTTGAGCACACTGAAAACCACGGTCTTAAGTTTTATCCATGTTTAATATTATTACATATTATCATTTATTCAGTTAATGTCACTTTTTAAGTGAGTGTGCGATATATATACTATATCATACTGCATAGTGTATAGGAGTATACATTAAATACTATGGTGCCTTAAAATAGAAATTTGTTATTTATTTATTTTTATCATTATTAAAATATTTTTAATTTATTTAGGTACTTGTAATGTTTTGATTTTACTGAAAATTGCACACAGCAACTACATAGGATTGACACTGATAATATGCCAACGTTTTGAAATTGAATGTGAAAAATATGATTTTAATGTTAATGTGGTAAATCAAAATAATATCATTGTTATGATAATGTATAAGATTTTACCATCATGACTAATACATTAATAAATGGTAGAACAAGTTATTTAAAACAATTTGAATCAATTATAAAATTATTAAATATTCAAATCCAAAGTATAATAAAATAATAAAAACTTAATAAATACAATTAAATTGTTTTTTAAAAGAAATAAATGGACATCTAACAGAACTTGAAAAGTTAATTTTGGAAAAACCGTAAATTCCAACATCAAACCTTGGAAAATCAAAATTTAGAATGTTTAATATACATTATCATGTCACACATTATTAGCTATAGATTTGTCTACCTCCCTCAATTTAGATGAAATTATATTACTAATAACAAGATTTGCTTTTCTAAATTTTGCTGGGTAGCTTGGGTTCCCAAATAAAGGTGTATACAAATCATATAACATGTTGCATTATGAAATTATGATAGTATAATCAAATTTTGGTGTTATTGATTAAAATATAGCTGAAACTATTTGTGTTTTTGCTTCATTACCAATTTGGAATTCTAGGATATCATTAGTATGCATATATTGTTTTAATTGTTTATTATGTCCAAATCTTTTTCTATTTTAGAACCTATATTATATTTATTTATTGACATTTTACAAAGTTAGATTTTTGATTGGATTCATTTTCTATCTATTTCTTTTTAATGTTAAAAGTTTTTATTAGTTATACTTATGTACAATTTATTACAATTACCCTTGAGTTTGTATGCCCCCAAAATATTTTAAATATTTATATTAAATGTATAATTTTTATTTTTATTTTGGAATTAACAATCTTTTTTAGTGTTGTTAGTATAAAATGGTATCTTATTATTATTTATTATTTATTATTATTTATTATTATATTATTAAGAGGTTTGCAAAGTTGTATGGAAGATCATTTCTTATTATTTTATTAACAGGGTCTATATTAAAATTATTATTGGGTACTATTGTATGAATCATATTAAATTGTTGATGATAATTAAAATGGTTTAAAAAAAAAACTTAAAGTTTAAAGTTAAAACATACTATTTTTTGTTTGTACATATGATTTTAATTTTAAGGTGTCAGTGCCCAGTTGAGTAGGTTTTTTAAAAACACTGTAATGATATATTAACAGTATACAAGAAGAATAATACATTTTTAAAAAGTAAAAAATTGTAATTTCAAAATATTTAATTTAATGAAAACATAAACATTTAATTACACTATCATGCTTTCATAATTCATTACATTAATAATATATTATATTTGTATACACATTTATTTTCCTTTATATACAATATTATCTTTCTGAATCAGTTTGGCATCAATTTTATTATATTTTAATTGTACTTAAGAGTGATTTTATTTTATATTTATGTTACCTGAAGATGGCTTAGGCCAAAACTAATAGGTTCCTTTTTATTATACTTTGGTTTTGAATAATTCTATAATTCCTTAATATATTAATCAAGTATACAATTTACCATTATTATATTATTAATAATTATTGTCAGTAGTGAAGAAGTAAATAGTTGTTAGTCACCATAGTACACACAAGACCAATCAATATTTCAAATCAAACACAAAATACCTGCCCAGATTTGTTGAGTTTCAGTTTAATCAAATATTATACATTAGCAGTGCACACAAAATGCAATAATTGCGCACCCTTTTTTTGTCAAATTGAAAATATAAATATATAAATATATTGTTCAAAGTATAATATAGTTATAAAAAAATAGTTAAACTTAAATTTGAATACTTATTCTTCGTTACATATGTCATTATCTTGTAAAAGAGTTTGTTCTTCTGGAGGAGGAGGCCTAAAACAATAAAAACAATTTAAAGTTTAAATTACAATAAAAAAGAACAACATACATTACTTCGGATAAATAAATAAATATGCACTTACTTTTTTAATTCTAGCAGGATTCTCTGCTTAATACTCATATTCAGATTTCCATTGTTTTTAGAGTCCAAGTTCCACAGTACAGCAGTCAGTAACAAAGAAACTAAAATCAGTTTTTTTTTTTTTTTAAACATTTTATTTAAAACTAAAAAGATACATTTATTTATTCATAATTCCGATTTTAATAATAAATAGGAATAAAAAAAACCATAACAGTATAAATTATGTTATTCCTACAGAATAAGGTAACAAAAAAATTATACTCTATTTAACCGAAATTGTATATTCCGGGTTAATTTTTAGAGTAACTTAAATATCAGAATTCGTTAAATGTTCACATTAAATTAACTTAGCTAAATTTTTTTAATAAATACACATAATGCTCATTATTAAAACAATATAAAATTTACCTGACAGTAATAGACAGAAACATAGTTCCACCATATAGTAGCCATCTGCATCCACAATTATACCAGTCAATAAAGCCACAACAGCAAGACCAAAATTTTCAACAGATTGAGTTCTATACAATGCAAAAATAAAACAATATTTTAAGTATTTAACTATACACATATGAAATAAAATGTTGTATAAATTGTGTATTATAATTAACTGATTTATGTATACTATATTTAAAACTGTAAGTCTATAATTATTTTATAATATTATAATATTTTATGAAATATTTTAATAATAAATAAATTATGACTGACAATATATATATACATATATTTAATTTGAATAATTTGTTGGTTCGAAAAATACAATTTTGGTTCAAAAGTTAATAAATTTAACCATGTTGAGATCCCCACATAACATACATCCATTTTAATTCATTTTAGCCCTTATTCTCAGTTAATAAATTTTAAAATATAATTAACCAGCTAGAAATAAAATATACAAAACACTTGCATTCCATACGCAGTTCCTATTTGATGTTCAGGGATAATCAATGCAATAAGAGGCCATAATGCACTTGCTAACATTGAATAAGAAAGCCCCATTATAAACTAAAAAAAGAAAAAATGAATAAATTCAAATTATTAATATAGATACTTATTTTATATTTATCTACAGGTACTGTAAATGTATATTAACTCTTCTTACCATAGCAATATAGGGGTTGACAAATGTAAATGTCAAGATCATGTGTGAAACTAATGTACCAAGAATTGATAAAAATACCCAGAATAGATTTCGTCCAGTCTTATCAATTACCAAACCAAGAAATGGTGCGCATACAGCTGATATAATGTAAATAATTCCATTTATAAAATTAGCTGCATCTGGTGAAAAATTGTACTTTCTTTCAAAAAACACCCTGGAAAATATAAATAATAATAATAAAAACATATCATGTATGAAAAGAAAATGTACAAAATATGTAAAATTGTATACATGAATGAAATTCATAATATAATGTTTATATAAATTGAATAGTCCTATACATTTTGAACAAATAAAATTTAAGTTATTTGAAATAATATATACCATACATGAATAAGTTATAAGGCCAGTATAAAATGGTAATTTCCTAACATATTTTGTTTGCATAAATAAAGGACAGACATAAGTCCCACGTGGGTGCAACTATTGTTGTAGATGGGAAGTTGGGAAGGTAGGATACAGATGGGAATTGAATGTATACTTGTAGACAACAATAAACCATTGCTTACTAAAAACAATTCTGTTCTGAAAACTATCAACTGAAAAGTTCAGTTGATAATGTTGTATCGTCAACAATATATTATATTAGGGTAAAATTATTAAAATGCATCTTTCCAAGACAACAATAATTGTTTAGAAAATATTTTTTTAAATAATAAAAACTTAATAACAAAAAATAAATAAAACAATGGCAATTTTTTTCAGTATCTCAAATATAAATGAGAATTTCAAAAAACAACCTCTCTAAAGTACCACCTAGAGAACATTTCTTTTCAGAAAAGGTGCTATACTTGATAATTGGAGTGAGCTCTTGTAGAAAGTGTTCACATAAAAAAAAATAAACATTTTAAAACCAACACATTTCTCTCTTCACTCAAAATCTAAAATTATTAAAATTCTATTATAAATAATCCTGAGTACAACTGTTTAATAGTCAAAAAAAAAAAAAACTTTAGAAGATGCTACACATGCATTTGTGAAAATGAGACTTTTCTCTGCTATTTTCACTGATAAAGGCAAAAACAATAATGCTAGAAGAAAATTATATTTTTTGATCATTTTTGTATAAAATTAAAAAATTAGTAATTTAGATAAATGTATACAATTATTTATTATAATTGAGTAAGTGATGGCAATACAGATGACAAAATGTAAGTATATATATATATATATATATATATAATTTTTTTTTTATGTAGCATATGTTTTGCCTTTATCAGTGAATAGGCATCACTAAACTAGGAGGGCAGCCCCAGCGATTGCTGTGTCCATTTGACAAACTTATAGCAAATTGTTCTTTGCAGAACCAATTGTGTGCAATTAGTTTTAATATTAGAGTGAATTAACCTATTATCAAAATTAAATGAAAGCCCATCATCTGTGTCTGTATAGTTTTTTGTTCTTTAAATTTTTAAGTAGATATGAGTTTAAAATATCACAATTCAATGATTATATTTTGCCTAAAAATGTAATTATTGGAAGCAAAATAAACTAATGTACAAATACAAATATAGTTCTTGGATTTTGATAATAGGTCAATGCTTTCTAATATCAAAACTAATAACACTAAATTGGGTCTGCTTAAGGCAAATTTGCTATTGTGAAAAAAAAAACTATTTGTACATCATGTGTTGTTGTTTTTTGTTTTTTTTTTTGTAAAAATTAAATATAATTTAAAAACTATATTATTATTGAATAATGTTAGTTAATATAATAAAATTAACTTACTTTCCTAATGCTACAAATGGAAATATAGTTGTATAATAACAAACAATGATTAATGTAACAAGCCAAAAGATCTTTGGGAAGTTTTTAACATCTTTTATTTGCACAACTTCTGCAGCATCAAGTACCTTGCGGTGAAGTAATTTTTCAGCTCTTTTATCTTGCCAAGCAAGTAGTAAAGCACTTAATAGTGATAAAACACAAGTCAAACTCGCTAAAT